TCCTAGATAGAGCGTCAAAGACCAAAATCCTATTTATGGAATCAGTTGAGATCGTACCGAGTAGTTAACCAAAATATACCACAGTTTAATCGGCTTTTATTGGCCACTCACGAATCAATTATATGGAAAGTCGTTGCTCAAACCAATTTAGAGGAGCCTCACAGGTCAAGCATTAGTAGCGTCTGGTGTGGCTAAGAGTATAAGAGAAATTAATGGCATTGCAGTGAAAACCTCGAGAATCTAAATGAAGATTAGTGTGACAGAAATTGATGGATCTCAAACTACATTGTAGAAGCTTTAAGAGTTTCACATGGTTTCACTACTTCCTCTGGATTTCAGACGGCTTCATGACCATCTAAAGTGAAGCAGCGACTAAAAAGATAGCGCACGACTTAAGTAATTGCCAGACAACGAGTTTTAAAAATGTGTGGAAGACATCCTGGTATGAAAACTTCTACCCAACTTAACTAATTAGCTTCCTTACGGTTGTGTCAACAGTGGCAAAGGTAAGAGTCAGATAAAACCAACTCAGTAGCCTGCCACGTGCAGCATTATTAGCTTGATAGGCATAAATTGTTGTTCCCATTAATTTGCAGGGTTGATGTTACCTTCATCTCGATGTTTTGTTTGATCTTTGTCTTTGTCTCTTCTGTAGAACCACTAGTAGTGACAATGGTGAAAAAGAAAAGGACGTTTAACAACAGGCCACACTAGACCAACCCCTTCATTTATGCACAAGGTCGAAATTTTCGTTGACGTATTTTGAAGGGAACAGCATTAAATAGCAAAGGTGGCAGCTGAAAAAAAACCTTATGCAGAAATCTTATAAGCACCAAAGGTAAATGCTAACTGCATACTGTTTTCTTTCAACAAAGTTCACGGAGGCTAAAGGAGTGGCAGATAAGAATTCAGAGAATTCAATAAATGTCAAACAGCGGAATACCTTTTACCCCTAGAAGCCGTAATTTGCCATTTAAGAAAGTGCCTTAACAGCCAATTAATTTGAAAGCCTTTTCTGCAAGGCACAAACGACGACCAACTCATCTTGACAAGCCTTTGAAGGTGCCTTTATTGCTGCCTAGTCTCAGCAGGGTCAACAGTTATTAATCAAATGCCCTACTGCTTCTAGTTGGACAAGATGCAGATTCGGTTAATGGACAATGAAAATCTCAATGAGGTAACATTTTTACCCATCTGTTTAAGTGTCAAATGCGTCATGTGGAGGTGGGGAAGTAAGACGATTCCTTGAATTTTCACGAATAGACATTTCAATAAACTGAAGTTTGTTTAGAGTAGCAAAGGAATGAAAGTCGGTAGACTTACCCAACTTTTAGATTCTAAAGGTGTGGGAGGACTGGTTGACCTCTTCTCAGAGGAGTTCTGTGAGTAAGAGGTCCAGGAGGTCCTCTGCAAACGCTTCTCTGCCTCTTGTAACTGCGCTTCCAGCTCGCGCACCCGACGTTCAGCCTCCAGCCGAGCTGCTCGTTCCTTTGCCAGACGTTCCCTGCCATCAAAACACGTAGTCTTATCGTCCGAATAGTGATGGGACCGAGGAGACCAAAACAAGTTCATGGAATTTTAACATCATCTTTGCTCCCGATTTGCTGTTAAATCTTCAGCTTCAACACATAAAGAAAAGCTATGACGTTCTTGGCACCTCAGGAGCTATTATGAGACTTTGAGTAGCTGCTTCTATACATCTTTGGTTCTGATTATATAGGATGTACTGCTTCAATCCCTAACCTCAAGAAACATCTGCATTTCCTTGATGCAAGAATTTTCTCATTCCAGCATTGATAGAGAGGCATAAAAGGTCCCCGCTAACAATCCCTCCACCATAAAATTATTGCATTTTTCCTCCACATACATAAACCAGAACAAGCACCTCCTATCGGTCCCCAGTTGATAAAAAAGGCAGGAACATGATGGCATTGTAGGAACCTCGATGCCTAAAAACCAGCTACAACTTCGTGAGCGCATACGTATGCACATGCAAAACTTACTTTGCCGGCCACAGAAATTGGTTTAATGAACAATGGATAAGCAATACAATCCCTTATTTACGTCATCTCTACTGCAAAAGCTGAGGCAGAGTACAGCCGTCATCTACATCCGCCAAAGTCGTCTCACATTGATGTATCCAATTAATTTGGGAGATAACGTGGATGTTTAAACTCAGCTCAACTCGACCTCGGGCAAAAAGGTTGCTCTATTGCATTTCCCATGCCAACTTCGGGTGGAATGAAAGAACAACAATTTTACCAGTCTCGAGAGTAATAAGTGTGGCACAGGTTTGCTGAGCATTTTTGCACGGTAAATGAGGCATGCAAACTCGGTACTGCTGCTGAGCCCAGTGTCAACGCTGCATCACCCATCACAATTTCCCTTTGCGTGCAACGACCTCTCCGCCCTGCGCCACTCGCGTACAAATTATTGCCTCATTTATTAAAGAAGTTCGTAAACAAATTTCGGACTTCAATGAATTCTATTATTCATCTTTAAGTTTCTTTTAACTCATCTGTCTGAAATATTTGTGAACTTTGTGCTTGAGAAATGCATTTGGAATGCGAAGCAAGCGATCTGTCCCCATCAGCCCGATAGCGAAGACGTTTTAGTCCCAACATTTAGCTAGTAAGTTACATCATCGCCTATTAGGGAAGTGAAACACTGGCCTCGTATCTTATGGCGTTTTGACTGCGAAGCAGTTGCATGTGCATCGGGGAATAGCAACGTGCCGGCCACTTTCAAATGCAATGCACGTCAACATCTTTTCTTGCTGTGATTAAACTTTACGAGAAAGCAAGGAAGAGAGAGATGGCAAATAGCGTACCCACTTCACTTGCCTCGGCTATGCTCGCAGGATAGACTTGGCTTCCAGAGGTTGGGAATCGGCTATTATGCATTTTAACGCAACTTGTCTAAGTTAGCCAACTGTGAATAAACGTGGGGGCGGATTAACAACCAAACTTTACGGAGGACCGATTAGCGTTGTTTGTGCAACAGGTTGGGGAATAAGTGCCACCCCCCTTGGTGGGCTAATAAGGCCTCCCATAATAAATTTCCACTAATCAACAAGGCCTCATTATGCAGCTTTGGCCCATTTGTATATCGTCGAGCAGGGGTTTAAGAACTTAATGACTTCGGTTTATGCTCAGTGATAATGATACCTCTCTACCGAAAGGCCGCATTGAACCGCCACCCATAACCCACCCATCAAAGAAGCATAAAGAGTTCTCTTCCAACAACGTGTGCTTACCTTTTGATGATGGATTAATTCTCCACATAAGCAAGCGAATTCTAAAACGCTCACACTATGGCCTGTCTCAATTATCTTTCGTCAACAAGAATTCGCCCTTCCTCCTTCCCCTTTTAAGGTGTACGGATTAAGACTTCAGATTAATTCATTACTATCATTAGTAAGTTCGCAATGCACCGATTTCGAAACCCCTATTGACAAAATTCTGGACTTATTTTTCAACAGCTCGAATAAGCTACAATCCTTATTTGCTCTGCATGCAATAATGAACTCGATAACAATGGTCACACACCTTTGATAAATCAGCACACGACAGTCTGCAACGAAACACTTGCATTAGACTTCTTTGAAAAAACCAACTCAGCTTTGTACGACATTTTTACCGTTTATGAGCCACGATTTTAATTCCGTGACGCATAGAAGCCTTTAAAGCATACACCTCAATTTCTTCGTGCCAAACGAGAACTAAGCTCGTTGATGCCCTTTCCTTTGACTAACGATGTCACAACTTTCCATCCGTTTATAATTAATTCGGACTGTTCCAAAGGAGTTCACTGTGGTTGGTTGGTAAGAACCTGTTCCACTTTTCCATTATTATGCGCTGATTTTGTGCTGCACCTGTCGTTTTCTTGGCTAAAAGATGGCGACCATTCTGTGCGCACCCATTACCCAAAATTTGGGTATTGTCAGAGACAAAAAGAAAAGTCTTTATGACGTGAAAGCGACTTTGAAGATGTATGGTGACAATTCGGTTAACAAGTATTAGAGCGCCTTATTGATTGGAGAGGAAAAGCGTAAGTGCACCTTAAAATGCTGACTGGAGTCGTATTTGACAGGTAAGGGCGGAAATAAATCCCAAAAAAGCAATGTTATTGATGAAGTGACCTCCAATTTTTGTTTTACGTTGAAATAAAAGGCAAGAAATCGTCAAAATGATTTCATTAAATCTTGTTTCGACTGACTACTTTGTGCTTTTCAGGATCCCTAGAACTGTTCTGCACGAGGTGCCGTTAATCAGCCACGAGTCAATTATGTTAATGTCTTGAATATTCCAGAGTGATGGGGATTGTAAATCATGCTTTAATGCCACACTTTAGACATACAAATGATGCATCCTGCAGATTTGTATAATTTTTGGGTTAAGAATCGGTTCACACGTACGATACACTGTCATTATACACTTTGATGTCCCAAAAAACCATGACACTTAAAACGCTGATGCTGTGCGTCCCTTTCTATTATGCCACACTCCAAAATCTTGTTTATCAGGTTAGCATCAAATGACGGTCAGGCCTACTACTCCATAAAGCGCTTCACTATTAGCAAAAATGCAAAATTTTCATCGCCTTATACCACACTCTTGCTCTTCAAGTGACATCGAAATAAAATTTGTCTTGCGACCTGAGAGCTATGCATAAGAAGAGTATGACCAAACAGTCTTTGTACCGCAATTAATCAGACTGGACCAAACAAAGAAGAATAATATGAGCCCCTTTACCCAGCAGAGGCTCAAAAAATGGCCAAATCTGATGAACTCACCTCTCCAACTCACGAAAAGCATTCTCTTCGAGAGCTTGAGAACGCATTTGTTGGATCTCAATAGGAACGGGTTGACGGCGTCGCACATAGAGCTCGTTGTTACCTATGCATAGCGCTAGAATCTTCTTGTTCGATCTGAGATTCTTGGTTAGGAAGACGAGGTCCTATCGGCAGCCAAGCAATACATACCTTCATCTCCATTCGAGTGAGCACGTAAGGAGAATAATAGAACATACAGAACTCTTCTTGTCAATTGGTTTGATTGTGAACTTGCGGTCGTTGAAGGCGATATTACGGATCTCTGACCATGGAAAACCCACCTTTGGAGTTATTCTAAAAGTATCAGATAAGTAAGCATTTTAAAATTATGCTTCCAATTGCAAAGCGATGTTGGCGAACAGAGGACGAAAAAAATTGCAGCATTCAGTGAGCACCCTCATCACAATGCTCAGAATATTCCCTCTATCTGTCTCTTTAGCAAAAGGGCAAAGACTAACAAATTTGATGTTTTTTTGCGAATTCAACACTGCACCATTAACTCACAACTTGAAAACAAGCTCAATTAACTCTACACAAGAGATTGATATTTACGTTAAGTTTTGCGGAACTTCCATTTGAATTCCAAAGTTACTCAAACAGTCAGCTGGGAGTGTACGAAGCAAGTATTCCAAAGGATTGGTTTTGTATTAAATGCAGTCACCTCCTTCAGAGATTAAAACATTTCATCCTCCGCAGAATGAAACAGGAAACTTCTAAAAAGTATGTCGGGTTGGGACTTCAATGCTCAAAATAGCTCCTTAAAATGATTACTATTAAATGGAGTTGCTTCGAAAGGTAAATGTGCCCTACTTAGGAGCTTTGTTTTAAATGAATGCGGTGAAACTACCTTCATGCAGCGTTTATTTTTTCTTTACTTAAGTTAACCGAACTATTAATCAGCCATGGAGGATTGATAAAAGTTTAAAATTTTCAGTGGGTGCACACCATCTTACAGACAGGAGTGCAGCGTTCTCTCCCCGAAGTTCGCCACAGGTTTAGCTATGTTTGCTTACCGAGAGGTGGCAGCACAACTTTTGGACTTACCGCAATCCTTCCTCCGTCTTTTGCGGTCTCTCCTGTCATTGTTATGTCCTTCTACACACCTACACAAAGGCTGTTTTCTGTGTCGCATATTTTTTGGACAGTATCAGGGAAGATTCTAGCGTTGTAAAAATAAATGGTGATTGACTACTTGCCCCCTCCAGGGTAGGAGGAAGTTGTCTAAGTTCAAACTGAACATTTTCGTTGGTAGTCATTAATAAGAATCATTGTTGTGCATATAGCGTTTAACTGGTGGCAAGACCACTTCGTTGTTTCACACTCCGGATTAAATTTACTCAGACTTACACACCTCCCACTATTAGTCTTGTATGGCTTTATTTTTATCAAGCTGAACTACAGTAAGGTCATGACCTTCATCGGCCTTCTGTAGCACAAAATAATTCTGCGAAGGAAGTCCAAAGAAGTGTAATTTGACCGTTGATAAAATTCCCCTCTCAACTTCAGCCGCGTATTTCTGCTTAAATCGGCCACAGTTCGACCTCTTTTCTCAAGTGCTGAAATGCTTAAAAGGTGATGGACCTAGACTGAGTACTATCCTAATTTTAACGCCATTCGCAAATTGCGCCAAGCCCTAGACTCAGGACACACTGTCAGAGACTCAATTTTGGGTGCGTTTTTCTACTCAAGATGTACGCATTGTTCGCCAGACGAAGGTGCATATAAGCGAAGAGCAGTTGGACTAAAATTGAGCCCTTAAAGACAAGTCCAGCACACGTGATTTACTTTTCGAATTTTGTAATTTTTGACAGGAATTTTGAAGACGATTTTAAAACCACCTGAATAGTTGAAAATAGCACACGGATAAAGTATAATATTTTTAGTCGTTCAACCCATCGCAGACAGATAATCCAACCTAGTCTGTGTTGATGGAAAGTGATTGAAAGTGCTGCTAGCTTCTAGTCAATTTTGCCAACGAAAACGAATATTGTAAAAGAGGAAATTACTATCGAGCCGCTTCTGCTACTTAAAAGTACCCGAATTTAAAAGTCCGAAGAGAGGGGGGGTTGGCTACTGTAAGTAGAAAGTGAGAAGGCTTCTTCCTTGCACACTCTTATTCTCATCCACAGTCACATGTTCGAGGACTAATTGCGTCGTTCGTGGACAAACTGCGAATGTCTCGAACGCCAATGGCTGCCAAGGTCGACAAAGATTGCCTCCATAAATTTGTCGCTAATAACGGCTTACTTGGGGTTACAGCAGATACTACCAAAAGTGATTAGGAAATATCGTAAGACGGACACGAATGAGTTCAGGCATTATGCCAAAATGAGCCAGTATTAATCAAACAAGCAGCTAATATTACCTAGTAAGCCGAAAAATGCTTCTTGAAATGCACAACCGTAGAAGAAACCTAGATTTACTGCACGAGGACACGGTGCGCCTCCGTCGGGCAACAGTCAGCATCACTCATGTAGACTAATGATAAAGTGCGCTTCTCTATTGCACGCATTTAACTAATTTCAGTAGAAGCTTCAGATTCGAGTTCACTATTTGCTTCAATCATCAGTTTAGTGGCTGTTCGGTAACCAACTCATCGGCTATGGCATGCAAAAAATAAAAGTGAACTCATGTGATTTAACCCACTAAAAATGTTGCAAGTTTATGTAGGCTGGAATTGGTCATGATTCAGCGACCAAATTTTATCACAGTGCTGACACTAACCTACACATTACCTTAAATATGTCAAGGACTCAACAGATAGTCGACTTATGCTTCGCAATTTAAAGGTAGGGTAAAGTTTGCTACAAAGCACGGATTGCGGCCAAAAATAATTTTATAGTAAAGAACAGATGTTTGATAGAAAAAAGTTGCATTAGATTGGAAAGACCTAGAAAGATTCAGATTACTCAAGCTAAGGCTACAGAAAAATGGAATAAAAGATTCTTAATGTCTTAAGAGTCTTAATGTGCAAACTCACTTGTCCGGGGGTTTGTAGACGGCCAGACCCATAGCATCAATGCCAAGGAGAAGATCCGTACCGCGTCGATTGCAGATCTCAAAGAACTCCACACCGTAAGTCCCTAGCCCTTCAGCGATTTCGAGGTAGTGAAGCATTGCAGTCTGCGGGTACATACCTTGATGTTCTTTATACCATCGAATCACCATGCTGACCCAGTCCTGCGATTGGAGGTCATGGTTCACCAAGGTACTTCAGACAAAAAGGCTTTCCTCTTAGATGGGGCTACTGAACAATTAATGGCATCAAATTTTCAAAGTGCTTAAGTTTGCACGTCTACCATAGGAATTACAGAGGCCTAATGTCTACAAGTTCTTACCTGATTCAGCACCTCATAGATGTGTAGGTTAAGAATGGAACGAAAACAAAACCCGATCTCATGCCAAATCATCATTGAGCATATGCTCTGTGGTGCTTACTTTTACGCTGCGATCCTATACCAACAATAACTCCTAAATTTCAAATACCACTACTACTGCTAGTGCTACCACTAAAAGGTACTTTATTTGGAGCGATGAATAGGTTGTACTTTGGCTTCGAGTCTTGTCCTGTCAACATTATTATTAAATAAACGATGAGTCTGGCTGATCGCACTTTCAGTGATCAAAGAATTCAAACCCTAACAATGACTCAGATGCACCCATATTATTTGACTACCACTGCCAAAAATTCTGATTTTCCACCTTCCAAAGATTGGTGTTCCAGTCTATTCTTCGCTATTCAAAATTCAGTTCTACTGACTTTTCGGAAGAGGTACGAGTATGCACTGCCTTAGTTTACGTAAAATAAGTCGAAATCAGGGCTATGACATTCACTCAGTGTTTGCGCAATTTCCCCATCACCGCTGCCTTGGAAACAGTGCAGTGCCGCAGGCGTTCTAAAATACGAGGACGGACCATTTGGCTGGCATACAATGCAGACAGCAACTAATAGGTGGTGGTGCACCGAATGGGGTTAATTAGTGCTAAGATGTGTAAAAATTGGGAATTTCGTCTCTCCTCTTTTAGAAGGATTACTAAAGGGTAATAGTGGAAGTCTGAACTCCCCAACCAGAGATGTCTATCAACATTTTTACATAATCATTCGCCGCTTTGTTACCCTTTCAGTTGAGTAGAAAGTGAGTTCAACAGAGCAAATTCTCTTAGGTCAAATTCATTTAATCTGACTTTTTAATAGAG